GCAGGCGCGGCGGGGGGAACGCGGCCCGGGGGCTTCTTAAACCCCCCGCCCCAGCCCGGCCCGCACTTCCAGAGCACCGCTCCGCCCCCGGAGGGAGAAAGACAGAGAGAGAGAACGCGGCGGAGGAGCCGAGGAGGCCCGCCGAGTCCCGCCAGCCAGGGGCGCGAGAGAAGTTGAGAGCCGCGCAGCGCAGAGCCGCGGGTCCCGCGATCGCGCCCCGACAGCGCCTCGAGCCCGAGCCCAGCCAAGCCAGAGCCCAGCCGGCAGCGCAGCCCCCGCCCCAGCCCGCGCCAGCATGATGAACAACAGCGGCTACTCCGAGGTCCCCGGCCTTGGCCTGGGCGACGAGGCGGACGACATGCCGTCCACGGAGAAGGATCTGGCGGAGGACGCGCCGTGGAAGAAGATCCAGCAGAACACTTTCACGCGCTGGTGCAACGAGCACCTCAAGTGCGTGGGCAAGCGCCTGACCGACCTGCAGCGCGACCTCAGCGACGGGCTGCGCCTCATCGCGCTGCTCGAGGTGCTCAGCCAGAAACGCATGTACCGCAAGTTCCACCCGCGCCCCAACTTCCGCCAGATGAAGCTGGAGAACGTGTCCGTGGCCCTCGAGTTCCTCGAGCGCGAGCACATCAAGCTCGTGTCCATCGGTCAGTGCGGGCGGGGAGGGGCTGGCCCACGGGGACAGAGGACTCAGGTGCTGGGTGGGCGCGCGGGGAGCCGAGAGAGGGCAGAGAGAGCCCCGGCGCCGGGAGAGGACCCTGTCCCCGCTCTCCCGCCCGCCGATGCAGGCCCCCTCGTGTCCTGCCTTCGCACCCCTCTCTGGTCGGCCGGCATCCCGAGGCGGCCCCGGGAGAGTCCAGACCCGACAGTTTCTGAGCCCTCCAGCTTCAGCCTCCCTCGCACACTCTCACCAACCCTCTCCCCTTCGTCCCCTTTCCTGCCACCCGCACCCCCAGCCCAGGCTTGAGAGGGCTGGGCCAATGCCCATTACTGATTCCCGGGGGCACCTCCCCCCAAACAAAGCAAATGGCTTCCCAGCCTCCCAGCACCTCCACCGGGGAGGAGCGGCTGAAGGCGGGTCCCAATCGCTGCCCGATCCCAGGGAGCAGGGGGAGAGCTGGTGGCCGGGCGGGCGCGGGGTCCGGGTCCCCCGCGGGCATATGTTCTCGCCGGCTGGGTTCAGGCCCAGGGGCCAGGGCCGGCAGGGCCCAGCCTCGGAAACCTAAAAAGGCTCTGAGCTAGCTCCGAGAGCCTTAACCCCTGCCTGTCCTCTACCAGCTTCAGCCGGCGGGGGAGAGGGCTCCCTCCGTCCACGCCCGGCCCCCGCCCACCCCCTAAGCCCCGATTGGCTGCAGCTCAAACGGCCTGGGTTGAGGGGAGGGAGGGAAGGCCTGAAAAAGGGAGGAAGTCATTGAGTGTAACCAGATTTGGAAGGTGTGTCAGCGCTGGGTGGGGGTGGGGAGGCACCCCAGGCTTGGGAGCTGGGGAACCCGGGATGGGCTCTGAGAGGGTAGGAGCTGGCCCTCCCCTCACCGTCCTGCCGTCATCCCTGCAGGCCGGGGACCTGGGGCAGAGCCCTACCGCTGTGACGAGCTCCTAAGAGCCCTGATGGGATTTTGCGGGAAAGGGCCCCGTGGCGGGGTGCACCCTAGGGCCGCAGGAGGGGAGTTTCACAGGGCGTCCGGTGCCCCCCAGGCTGCCCCAGAGACTTCTTCAGATGATGGAAGGTCTGTCCACCTCCACTCTCCCTCGGGGCATCTCTAGGCCTCCGGAATTAGCAGCTGAGCTCAGTCCGGGGCCCTTTGCCCCGGCCAGTGCCCTCTCTAGGCCTTACCCGCTCCTGCCCCAATACTGACCCCCCACCCCACCCGCTCTGGCCTGGAAATAGCCCTGCCGCTGTGACACAGCAGATGTCTCTGAGCTTTCCAGAAGGACAAGCCTGAGGACAGGGCGTGGGGAGGGGCCCCCGGTGTGTGTAGTGGGAGTGAGGGCTGCTTGAGGGCGCGTGGGGTTGCCGGGGGCCAGGGTCAGAGAGGAGTCAGCCCTGGGCCTGTCAGCCCCCGGCAGCTGGGATTTCACCGACTGGACTGACGGTCCCAGGTGGGGGTCTCGAGGGGAGAGCCTGGGGCCTCAAAAAGGCTTCGTAGGAAATGGCTCAGCTTTCCCCTCCCCTCCCCGCTGCAGGGCGCTCGGCCCCTCTCCAGGCCTCGTCCTTCCTGAGAGCACACCTCTCCCCTCCCCCATGGTGGTGCCTGGCTCCGGCCCCTTTGGCTCAACTGTGTGTGGAGAGGCCGTCTCAGAACAGAGGGGGAAGAAGCAAAAGCTGTTTTGGGGGCGGGAGGGAACCGTCCTTTCCCGTTCCTGCAGGGAATTGTTCCCCATTTGGGCCAAGTGGCTCGCTCCCGCAGCCAGCCGGATGAGATAAGCTGTCAGCAATTCAGCTGCTGGGGCCTGAGGCTGAGGCTGAGGCTGGATGGGAGGGGGCACAGGCGGCAGGGGCTGCCCAACCCGCAGAAGGTGTAACGGGTGGTTCCCCGCCAGGCGGGCATCGTGCTTCCTCTAGTTTCCTCTGTCCCGCTAAGTGTTAGGAAGGGGTTGGGGCAGGGGCCGTCTCTGGGCATCGTCTCAGGACTGAAACTGAGCATCTGGGCACCTGGGAGGAGGTCAGAACGGCTCCCCACGTCCTTTTCTAGGAGTGTGGCGGGAGCTGGGGGTTGAGCCGTCCCCCTGAAGGAGGTAGGGGTACTCAGCCGGGGTGGAAGGAGCTGTGTGCCCTCCTTACCCGGCCAGCCCCTCAGCCCCTCCGAACAAAGAGGCCTATGCGGCAGCTCTGTCCCGCAGCTGTTCCCCAGTTGCTGTTCCTTCTCCTGGAGCCAACCACCGAGGGAGGGGCTGGAGGGGGCAGCAGCTGTCCCGGCACCTCCCTCGCTGGGCCCTCTCTTCTCCCCCTCCACTAGAGGCCTGGAGTGGCCTCAGGGACTGGCTCTGGGGCTCCTCCCACCCCTCTGGTGGCATCCCCGTTGGGGTGGGAAGGAGGGGACCTGGCCTGAGCAGAGCTCCCCTCCTCTGCCTGGCCTCTGAGGGGGAGGAGGGAGAAGCTCACTGCTCCCGGAGTGTGGCTCCGGGCCCCCCTCTGCTGCTGACCAGGACCACTTGCTGTCTGGCCCAGGGCCAGGTGCTGGGGAGAAACCTCTCCCTGCAGCAGATGGGATTGACGCCCCCACCCCCGTACCCCCCGCCCCCCGCCCCCGCAGCCTCAAGGCCTCCCTCCCAGGGATCTGGCTGCAGTTTGCAGGTAGCACTCTGGGCATTCGAGCACCAGCTTTGGAGGCTGTCAGGGTTGTGAGAGGCTGTGAGGCCCTGGGTGTCAAGACTGTGTGAAAGTGTTGTGGGCCTGTGTGTGTTTGAGAGAGACCGCTCCAAAGCACCAGGAGGCTGGGAGTGAGTGTGTCATGGAATCTGCAAGCTGCCAAACCATTGTGCTGCAGTGGAGCCAGGGGTAGAGGGGGCGGGCCTGGGGAGCTGCTGGGGAAGGAAGGATGAATCAGTGAAAGGGTGGTGGAGCCAAGGGGACCAGAGCCCGAGGCCAGAGGGACAGAGGGACAGAGAGACTGAGACTCCCCTCCTGGGAGCAGGTTGAGGGGGGATACTGGGCTTCCCCAGGCCTTACCCTCCAAAGGCCATCCCCCAAGATCTGGTGGGGGGCAGGAAAAGATACATAAGGGGGCATCTCCAGCCCCACCCTTTCCCATCTCTTGGGCAACGCCAGTAAACAAGGCTGATTCTCCCACCCCCTCCCAACCTCCTAAAAGCAGTGCTCAGGGAAGCTGATGGATTTCAGGCCTGCATTGTCCTTTACAAGCAAGCTGGTTTCCAATGATCCATACTCCAGGCCACTCCCGGCTCCTGGATATTTCTCTCTGGCTGTTAAAAGGGAACTAGGCCCCCAAAATCTTGGGGTACCAGTTCTGGTCCATAGTATTCCTCAAAGGAGGGGATGGGTCGAGAGCCTCGGCTGCCCCCATGTGGACTTGAGTCCACATGGGTAACACTCCCCCGGCTGTTGTGAAATCTCACTGGTCCCTATCATTTGAAAACATGATTTTCAAGCCTTAACAGAATGTGCACTGTACCCACCCCCTCCTCCAAGAACTTTGTTCCAAAAACCTTTTATAGCGTTCAGAGTAGAATTTGGCTGGAACCAGGTTGGTCCCATTCCTCTCCAACTTCAGTTTTTAAAATATTCATTCATTCAACCAGTATTTATTGAGATTCTACTAAGTTCTAGGCTCCGAGTAGACATAAGATACAGTATCTAGAGGGAAAGAAGGCAGACAAAAGAAGTATATACTGTATGATTCTATTCATAGAAAACTCTAGAAAATGCAAACTAATCTATAGCGACCAAGAGCAGGTCAGTCGTTGCCTGGGAAGGATAGACCAGGAGGGGCAGGAGTGATGGATCACAAAGGAAGGGAAACTTTGAGGAGGGGTGGATATGTTTATGATCTTGATTTGTGGTGATGGCTTTGTGGGTACACACATGTCAAAACTTACCCAGTTGTACTTTCTAATAAGTAGTTTATTGTACATCAAGCATACCTCATTAAAACTGTTTAAAAAAGAAAAAGAAAGGAAACGAAACAAAGCAGTGTCTGCCCCTGAGAGGCTTACAATCTTGCATAACTGCATGGATGCCTGTAACCTGCTAGGAGGCTCACACAAGTGCCGTGAAAGAGGTGAAACTACACGCTGAAGGAACACATTGGGAGGCAGCCTCATTCTGAAGGGAGAGGAGGGGTCCATCAAGGGCCAGGCCTCACAGGATGGAAAATTTGGTAGTCAGAGAAGGAGTAGGTTCCAGAAGAAGGAGGCCTGACCCAGGGCTCAAGCAGCAGCTTCAGGAGCTGGGCGGGGGAGGGGAGGGCACTGTGCTCGAAGTGGAGCCCTCCTGAGCCCAGATCGCCTCTCTGCTCCGCAGACAGCAAGGCTATCGTAGATGGGAACCTGAAGCTGATCCTGGGCCTGATCTGGACACTGATCCTGCATTACTCCATCTCCATGCCCATGTGGGAGGATGAGGATGATGAGGATGCCCGAAAGCAGACACCCAAGCAGCGTCTACTCGGCTGGATCCAGAACAAGGTGCCCCAGCTGCCCATCACCAACTTCAACCGTGACTGGCAGGATGGTAAAGCTCTGGGCGCCCTGGTGGACAACTGTGCCCCTGGTAAGTGGGCCGGCAGCACACCATGGATCCTTGAGCCCGGAAGGGGAGCTGGGATGAGCTGGTGATGCCGAGGCTTGTGTTTGTCAGAACACATGTCCCAGGGTTGGGGGATCAGGACCCCCTGCCCCAGCTGAGAATCACTGCTGGAGTTAGACCCTTCCTGATGAGTTGCCAGATCCTGCAGTGGCAGGAAAAGTGTTTACAGACAAGGACACTGGGGTTCAGAAAAGGCCAGTGACTTGTCCAAGATCACACAGCTTATGTGTGGCAGAACTGAACCAGAGCCCAGGGCCTCAACTCCCTGCTTCCTACTTTGCCACATGGGTGTCATTTCTGCTCAGCCAGCAGAAAGCAAATGTGGTGGGACTCTGGCTTTCCAAAGAAGGCCAGGACTTAGACCCAGAGAAGGCTGTTCTTTGTGAGCCCCTGGGACAGCTTTGAGAAGGAGTTGAAGCCCAGGATGATGTGGGCTGAGGCTGATGTGACACTGCCCAGTGGCAGGTGACCCAGCCCTGCCCTCTCTCGATGTAGGCCCTGGCCTGCTCAGGTGGGGGCAGCTGAGGGCCCATGAGAAGACTGAGGCATCACAGGCGAGAGCCGTACCCCTCGGCTCCCTTTCTGACCCTCATCTCCTGAGAAGATAGGTCTTCTCCACCCCTATCGGTCAGCTCTGCCTCTGGGGAGCCATGTCCCCTTGGGCGAATCCTCCCTCAGCCTGGGGTCAGCAGGGGAGCAGGGGGTGGGAGGCGGGGGCACTGGCCGCCTGGGAAGCATTCCCAGCTGCTGAGCCATTGCCCACGGCTGGTGTGGCTGCCAGCAGTGAGCTCAGCTGTTCTGGCCAGTCATGGATTCCAGCCTTTGAGCTGGCCCCCTCCCTGCCAGTGAGCAGCGCCATCCTCCTCCAGCTCTGGCTTGGACCAAGCACACCCTAACCCCTGCATCCCTTCCCAGGAGTGACCTGCGGCCGCCTCAGCATTCCTCCCATTAGAAGGGCTGGGTTCTGGGTAGCTGGAGAGAAGAACTCATCCTCTCCAAACAGACCCTTCAGTGCCTCCATTGCCCCAAGGGGGAAGTCAGGAAGGAGAGAGAGTCTTATGCTCTGAGGCTGTTGTGGGAAGTGCTTGGAGACTTAGGACTTCAGGGCAGTTGTGAGGAGACCTTCGAGGCAACGGGTCAGAAGCATGTGTCGGACGGGGACTGCCTACCTGGAGGCAGCTGGGATGAGTCAGGAGAGGTCTGCGAGGGATGCCCTCACAGGGGTTTGGTGTTCAGGGTCGGTGCTGGGGCCTGGTAGGCAGGAGGCCGGCTGGCAGGGGCGGGGGCCGGGCTGCGGCACAGTTGTGAGGAGACCTTCGAGGCAACGGGTCAGAAGCATGTGTCGGACGGGGACTGCCTACCTGGAGGCAGCTGGGATGAGTCAGGAGAGGTCTGCGAGGGATGCCCTCACAGGGGTTTGGTGTTCAGGGTCGGTGCTGGGGCCTGGTAGGCAGGAGGCCGGCTGGCAGGGCTGGTGCCAGGCTGCGTCAGCCGGGGCAGAAAGCCCTCATTGTTGGTGCTAGGAAGGGTTGCCGTGCCTCTAAACAGCGATGGGCATCCCAGCTGATGGGCTATAACATCAGGGGTCAGCAGGAACCTGGCTGGTCAGGGGCCTAGGGCTGCGTGGGAGGGAGTGTGAACCCACAGCCTATGAGGGTGTTGGATGAGCAAATGCTCTGTATGCTGGCTGACTGCTTCCCCTAGTCATTGCCTCTCTCCGCCATCTCTCCAGGCCTCTGCCCTGACTGGGAGGCCTGGGACCCTAATCAGCCTGTGGAGAACGCCCGGGAGGCCATGCAGCAGGCGGACGACTGGCTCGGGGTGCCCCAGGTACACTGGCGGACGGGCCGGTGGGAGAGTAAAGGCACCAGAGGGCCAAGGGTGGAGTTGGGTCTATAAGGGTACCTGGTCAGGATGTGGGTGAGAACCGGGGTTCCTGGCTAAGGAGGGCATCCTCTAACTCCCTTCCTCCTCATGGCAGGTGATTGCTCCCGAGGAGATTGTGGACCCCAACGTGGATGAGCATTCTGTCATGACCTACCTGTCCCAGTTCCCCAAGGCCAAACTCAAACCTGGTGCCCCTGTTCGCTCCAAGCAGCTGAACCCCAAGAAGGCCATTGCCTATGGACCTGGTATGTACTGAGCCCTAACAGCCCTCCCTGAGCAGCTGGGCACAGGCTAGGATGGATCTCCCTAAACTCTCTGGCTCTGCCTTCTGATCCTCAGGCATTGAGCCCCAGGGCAACACCGTGCTGCAGCCCGCGCACTTCACCGTGCAGACAGTGGATGCTGGCGTGGGCGAGGTGCTGGTCTACATTGAGGACCCCGAGGGCCACACCGAGGAGGTATGGAGAGGCCATTGGGGAATGGACAGAGACCACAGGCCAACAACTGGGGTGGCCTGGAGATGGCTGCCAGAGCTACCCTCTATGCTGGAGATGGAGAACGCCTCACCATGGGGGCTGCAGGAGCTGTGGGCTCAGGAGGGGCTCTAACTGCCAACCTTTTCCCTTCCCAATAGGCAAAGGTGGTTCCCAACAATGACAAGGACCGCACCTACACTGTCTCCTATGTGCCCAAGGTTGCCGGCTTGCACAAGGTATCTCCCTATAGGCCCCCCGCCCACCCCGTCTTCCCCATTCCATTCACATCCTTGGCTCTGGCTGAATGGACCCCTGTCTCGGCTCGCACCCCGCCCCACCCCCGTGCATTGGCCACCCGCCTCCCACCCTCTTTGGCTCTGCTCTGCTCCTCTACCCCCTCTCAGAGCTGCTCTCCTCTGAAAGCTTACCTTTGGCCTCTGACCCCCAGGTGACCGTGCTCTTTGCTGGCCAGAACATCGAACGCAGCCCCTTTGAGGTGAACGTGGGCATGGCCCTGGGGGATGCCAACAAGGTATCGGCCCGTGGTCCTGGCCTGGAGCCCGTGGGCAACGTGGCCAACAAACCCACCTACTTTGACATCTACACCGCGGGTGAGGACGGCCCCCTTACACCTGACACCCCCTGACTGGGCATGGGGCGTATGCATGGGGGCCTGGGGCAGAGTCCCAGCCAGAGGGCAGTGGTCTCAGGGTGAGGGAGCCCCAAGCAGAATGAGGGCTGATGGCCGTTGTCGTGACAGGGGCCGGCACTGGTGATGTTGCCGTGGTGATCGTGGACCCGCAGGGCCGTCGGGACACAGTGGAGGTGGCCCTGGAGGACAAGGGCGACAGCACGTTCCGCTGCACGTACAGGCCTGTGATGGAGGGACCCCACACGGTGCACGTGGCCTTCGCCGGTGCCCCCATCACCCGCAGCCCTTTCCCTGTCCACGTGGCAGAAGGTAAAGGCCCTCCACCCATCCGCATGATCCCCCTCCCCGACCCCAGGACACAGAGAGCGTTGCCACCGAATTCCGAGTCTAAGGATTTACGGGAAATGGTGCACTACGGGAAATGATGCACGGGGGCGGGTGGGGAGCCATCTGAAAGCTTAAAATGGGCAGAAGAGCGAGCCAAGGGGTGGGGCTCTCGAGAGCTCGTCTGTCCATCCCCTGCCCCCAAGGAGGCTCAGGAGGCCACAGTGAAGGATACCAGACAGGGACCGCTGTGGAAGGGTTGAGGGGGAAGCGACAGGGCCGCGTGGGTGGGGGGCATTTACGTGACGCACCTGTACGCCAGGCCCTCAAGCAGTGACCCCCCCCACTTGCTTCTCTCTTTGCCATTCAGAGCCCCTGCCGCCGCTCGCCCCCTCTGTGCCCATCGTCCACCAGGCCAAGAGAGGGGCGCCGCGTTAGTACACTCCAGTGGAGGCGGGGCCGGGCATGGCCATAGCTGACCGGCCTCACCTGTGCTGTGTGGCATGGCCCAAGCGGTGTGGAATCGCCCCCCCCTTCCGTGGCATTCTGTGACAGGCCCCAAGTTCCGTGCCTTTGCCTATGTTCTGTGGCAGATCTAGTTTCTTTGCCACTTGCCTGATGATTTCCGTGATATGAGACCTCCGTTCCGTGCCATTGCCTGTGTTCCATGGCAGGCTCCGTGTTTCGTGTCGTTGCCTGTTCTGTGGCAGTACCCGGATTCTCTGCCATTGTCTGTGTTCCGTGGCAGGCCTGGATTATATGTCATTGCTTGTTTGGTGGCAGCCCGTGGGTTCCATGCCATTTTATGGGTTCCGTGGCAGGCTGAGATCACTGTTCTTTGGCCTGTGTTCAGTAGCAAAGTCTGGGTTCATTGCCACTAGCAGTGTTCTGTGACAGGCTGACTTCCATGCATTGCCTGTGATCTGTGGCAGGCTTCCGGTTATATGCATAGCTCTTGTTCCATGGTGTTGCTGAGTGTTTTGTGGCATGACTTAGTTCCTAAAGCTGCTGTGGTGGCTCTGAGAAGGCTCAGGTGGCTCTAGGTGGGTGGCCTTGGGGTAGGTGAAAGGCCCTTCTCTGTCTCTCTTTGCTCCAGTCTCTGCTCAGGCTCTGCCCTGCCTGTGTCCCAAGCGACACTGACTCCAAGGAGCCCGGTGGGGAGGGTTTCTTGTGAGCAGCCTGATGAGGGGGGCTGGGGGCACCGTGGGCAGCTCCCTGCCCAGCATGGTCTCGGCAGCCCTAGTTGTGTCGGGGGCACCAGGGAGCACGGGGGGAGGGTTGCATGAAGCCATGGCCTGTGCCTGGGGGCGCGTCAGGAGGACTGCACAGCGAGGTAGGGGATGAGAGGTGAGGGCTGAGGCTCTGTCTAGGGCCTCTCGGCGCCCCCAGCCTCACCTCTCTTCTCTCTCCCAGCCTGTAACCCCAACGCCTGCCGGGCCTCTGGGCGGGGCCTGCAGCCCAAGGGCGTGCGTGTCAAAGAGGTGGCTGACTTCAAGGTGTTCACCAAGGGTGCTGGCAGCGGGGAGCTCAAGGTCACGGTCAAGGGACCAAGTGAGTGCCAGGGGGCCGTGGTGGGAGTCGGGGCACAGGGAGGAAATACAGCCAGTGGTTCTGAGCCCCTGAGGGCAGTGCCGGTCAGCACCACGCCCCCCCTGGGGGGCTCAAAAGAGACACTGACCGGAGGCTCCCTGGGACCTTAGGCACATTGTCTGACCTCTGCCTCAGTCTCCCAGTGTGCAAGCTGGGAATGCTGCTCTCGCCGGTGTGCTGCCCTGGGCTGTTACACAGTGCCTACTACAGTGCCTACCAGCAGCAGTATCCTCAGGCTGGGCCTGGGTCCCAAGGGTCCTTGAGAGGACTGAGCAGCTGGGACTCGCAGAGCATTGACCCCCCCTCTTCCCACACCTCCTCAGAAGGCACAGAGGAGCCGGTGAAGGTGCGGGAGGCTGGGGACGGTGTGTTCGAGTGCGAGTACTACCCCGTGGTGCCTGGCAAGTACGCGGTGACCATCACATGGGGCGGCTATGCCATTCCCCGCAGGTAAGCACCATGCGGCCCCCGTGCCTCCAGGTCTGGGCCCTCAGAGGGTGGGAGAGGGAGGCGGGCTGCCTGGGACTCTGAGGGAAGGGAGGGGGACGAGTACCTCTGGTGGGGGCAGCTCCCGGCATGGACACCAGCTCCCTCTTTGCCCAGCCCCTTTGAGGTGCAGGTGAGCCCAGAGGCAGGAGTACAGAAGGTGCGGGCCTGGGGTCCCGGCTTGGAAACAGGCCAGGTGGGCAAGTCAGCCGACTTTGTGGTGGAGGCCATTGGCACGGAGGTGGGGACGCTGGGTAAGTGGCTGGGGTGGTGACAGGTGGGAAGTGGGGGGAGTGGTGTGATGGAAGGACACTGGGGGGGTGACTGGGGTCAGGAAGTGGGAGTGCTAGCGAGTGTTGAGATGAGACTGGGAGATGGGACGTGGGGTGATCAGGGTGGTGACGCCTGGAGAGCGATGCCCCGGGGACCTGCCTGAGTGTCCAAGTTGCTTCTTGTGCCCTCTGACCCTCCCCATCTTTCACCTAGGCTTCTCCATTGAGGGCCCTTCACAGGCCAAGATCGAGTGTGATGACAAGGGAGATGGCTCCTGTGACGTGCGGTACTGGCCCACAGAACCAGGGGAGTACGCCGTGCACGTCATCTGCGACGATGAGGACATTCGAGACTCGCCCTTCATTGCCCACATCCAGCCAGCTCCACCCGACTGCTTCCTGGACAAGGTGGGGGTCCCAGCTCCCGCGGGCCTGGGACAAGGTGAACCGGCCCTCCTCCAGTCCCCAACACAGCCCTCTGCTCTTGCCCCTGCGCAGGTGAAGGCCTTTGGGCCCGGCCTGGAGCCCACTGGCTGCATCGTGGACAAGCCAGCAGAGTTCACCATTGATGCCCGTGCTGCTGGCAAGGGAGACCTGAAGCTCTATGCCCAGGTGGGGTGTTGCCCCATCTCTGTGCCCCTCGCCGCTGTAGCAGGGACCCTGGGGGGGTGGGGGCAAGTTAGAGAAAGGGGCCTCCAGGCATCACAGGACTGATTCTCATGGATCCATTAGAACTATGAAAAATTTAAAGTTTTGTGTTTTCTTATTGATGATAATCTTAAAAAACATATTTTACCAAATGTATATTATTATACTACTAATTTGCAATTGAAAGATGATTTGACTGAGTAAGACATTGGTTTCCCAGCTGAGTTTCTCACAGTGGTGTCCACTGACCCCTAGAGGTTAATGCATATGTTCTTGGGTCCAAGAGGTTGATTTCTTCTTTAAAAGGTTACTTATTCAATTTTAGGAACATTGATTTAGCTGAGCGTTTCCCCTGACGACACATCTCAGAGACCTAGGCTGGGAGACCAGGCCACACAGATGGTCTAGAGCCTGGCCTCCCTGTTCCCAGGGTGCGCCCTGGCCACCAGAGCTTGTGGCACTAGGCTCTCCTGGTCTGAGGTCTGTGGCTGCGCGGGGCCTGTGAGTGGGTTGGCGGTGGGTAAGGAGGATGGCCCATGGCCAGCAGAGGGCGCTGGTGCTCTAGGAGTCCGGGGCACTCCAAGAACCTTGCTTTGGGTGACGCCCACAGGACGCAGACGGCTGCCCCATCAACATCAAGGTCATCCCCAACGGCGATGGTACCTTCCGCTGCTCCTACGTGCCCACCAAGCCCATTAAACACACCATCATCGTCTCCTGGGGAGGTGTCAGCGTCCCCAAGAGCCCCTTCCGGGTATGTCCTTTGCTCCCTGCCCCATGCCCACTGCCAGGGGCCCCAGAGGGAGGGCGGAGCCTCACGCAGGAGATGTTGGCTGTCCCTGGGCCCTATCATCGCTCCCCACCTCAAGGTCCCCGCGAAGATGCTAAGAGTGGTCCTGCTAAGGCCGGGCTCAGAAGTGCTGGGGAAAGGGATAGACCTTGAGGAAGGGGCACCGTGCTGACCATCGACTCTTCCCCACAGGTGAACGTGGGAGAGGGCAGCCACCCCGAGCGGGTGAAGGTGTACGGCCCTGGCGTGGAGAAGACAGGCCTCAAGGCTAATGAGCCCACCTACTTCACCGTGGACTGCAGCGAGGCTGGGCAAGGTGCCCCGAGGACCAGGGAGTGGGGCAGGGCCGGGCGGGGGCTGGGTGGGAGGCGCTGGTACCCTCCACCTGGTCCCAGCTGTAGGGGGACTGGTCAAGTGCAGGAGGTTGTTGAGCCCCCCACTCATGGCCTCGTGCCTGCCTCCCCTCAGGCGATGTGAGCATTGGCATCAAGTGTGCCCCCGGCGTGGTGGGCCCTGCAGAGGCTGACATCGACTTTGACATCATCAAGAATGACAATGACACCTTCACAGTCAAGTACACACCCCCAGGGGCCGGCCGCTACACCATCATGGTGTTGTTTGCCAACCAGGTACCCTACGCTTGGGTTTTCGTTGTCACGGGTGGCTGCACACCCCACCCTGCCCCGGCCCACATCTCAGTCAGCAGCTTAAGAGGCAGTCGTTTGGGGACAATTCTACAGCCGTTAATTGCGCACTTCCTATGTGTAGGCAGCATGCCTCAGAGGAAACAAAGGGCACTTTTTCAGAGACTGCTCGTGTCCACCCTGACCAAGCTTTTTCTCCGTCCAGGAGATCCCTGCCAGCCCCTTCCATATCAAGGTGGACCCATCCCATGATGCCAGCAAGGTCAAGGCTGAGGGCCCTGGGCTGACCCGCACAGGTAGGTGTCTGAGTCGGGGCTGGGCTGGGCTGGGGGTGGGGCTAGGTGGCCGCCAGCGCCTCACCACCATCTCGGGGTGACTCCCCAGGTGTGGAAGTTGGGAAGCCCACTCACTTCACGGTGCTGACCAAGGGAGCCGGCAAGGCCAAGCTGGACGTGCACTTTGCCGGGGCTGTCAAGGGAGAAGCTGTGCGAGACTTTGAAATCATCGACAACCACGACTACTCCTACACTGTCAAGTACACGGCCGTGCAGCAGGTGTGTCCGCCCCCTCCATGCTCCACCCGTCCCAGCTATGGGGTCGTGGGTCTCCTTCCTTCAGTCTCACAGGGCCCGTTCTGCATCTAGCCTCCCACATCTTGCCCTTTCCTGCCTTCCATCCTCTCTTGCTGTGGATCTCTGAGCCTCTGGTCCACATCGGCCAAAGGCATGTTGCCAGGCTGTGCCTAAGCCACCCAGTTCTGACCTCCTGTTGTACCCAATAGGGCAACATGGCAGTGACAGTGACTTATGGTGGAGACCCTGTCCCCAAGAGCCCCTTTGTGGTGAATGTGGCACCCCCGCTGGACCTCAGCAAAGTCAAAGTTCAAGGCCTCAACAGCAGTAAGCGGGGCACGCGCTGCCCTGGGGGTGAGGAGAGCTGGGGGGGCAGTGGGCTGCAGTCTCTGCTCACGGCGTCCCTTGCCATCTGCACAGAGGTGGCTGTGGGACAAGAACAGGCGTTTTCTGTGAACACGCGTGGGGCTGGCGGCCAGGGCCGGCTGGACGTGCGGATGACCTCACCCTCCCGACGGCCCATCCCCTGCAAGCTGGAGCCCGGTGGTGGAGCTGAAGCCCAGGCCGTGCGCTACATGCCCCCTGAGGAGGGGCCCTACAAAGTGGACATCACCTACGATGGTCACCCGGTGCCTGGCAGCCCCTTCACCGTGGAGGGTGTCCTGCCCCCTGACCCCTCCAAGGTGAGGAAATCGGGGCTGGTGGGAGCTGGGAGTTGGGGGCTTCTAGCGAAGATGGGTAAGTCACAGGGGCAGAGGCCAGAGTTAGCATAGCCAAGGACCCAGGGCCGAGTCAGTCCCCCACCTCAGGACCTGCCTTTGAGACTGCTTAGTGTATTTTTGGTTTTGTTTTTTGTATTTTTATTGAAGCATAGTTGATTTATAATGTTGTGTTCTTCACGGCTGTACAGCAAAGTGATTCAGTTTACATATATGTACATTCTTTTTTTTAATATTCTTTTCCATCATGGTTGGTCGTAGGATTTTTTTTTTTTTGGCCGCACTGAGCAGCATGTGGGATCTTAGGTCCCCGACCAGGGATCAAACCTGTGCCCCCTGCAGTGGAAGCGCAGTGTCCTAACCACTGGACGGACAGGGAAGTCCCTGTCATAGGTTATTGAATATAGTGCTCTGTGCTATACAGTAGGACCTTGTTGTTTATCCATCCTACATATAGAAGCTTATATCGAGACAGCTCAGCTATTAAAAGCCTGGCCTTGGATCCGACCTGGGCTTCAATCCCTTGGATCCGACCTGGGCTTCAATCCCAGGTCCACCAGCTGGGACCAATTATTTAATCTCTCTGCCTGCCTTTCCTTGCCTGGAATTGTTATAAGGACTCAGCCTGTGGTAGCTGCTACAGTTGAAAGCGCTTAGCTGATTTGAGAGCCATGAAGGCCTCGTGGGCGAGGTCAGGTGTAGGTAATCCACACACCTGTTCCTTCTTTTAGGTCTGTGCTTACGGCCCTGGTCTCAAGGGCGGGCTGGTAGGCACACCAGCGCCCTTCTCCATCGACACCAAGGGGGCGGGCACAGGTGGCCTGGGGCTGACCGTGGAGGGCCCCTGTGAGGCCAAGATCGAGTGCCAGGACAATGGCGACGGCTCGTGTGCTGTCAGCTACCTGCCCACGGAGCCGGGCGAGTACACCATCAACATCCTGTTTGCCGAAGCCCACATCCCCGGCTCGCCCTTCAAGGCTACCATCCGGCCCGTGTTCGACCCGAGCAAGGTGCGGGCCAGTGGTCCAGGCCTGGAGCGCGGCAAGGCTGGCGAGGCAGCCACCTTCACTGTGGACTGCTCGGAGGCGGGCGAGGCTGAGCTGACCATCGAGATCCTGTCGGACGCCGGCGTCAAGGCCGAGGTGCTGATCCACAACAATGCCGACGGCACCTACCACATCACCTACAGCCCAGCCTTCTCCGGCACCTACACCATTACCATCAAGTATGGCGGGCACCCCGTACCCAAATTCCCCACCCGCGTCCATGTGCAGCCCGCTGTCGACACCAGTGGCGTCAAGGTCTCGGGACCCGGTGTGGAGCCCCACGGTGAGTGAGAGAGGAGCCTGGAGCTGGTCACATCGCCAGTCAGGGAGGGAGGGAAGCGGGGCTGAGGGCTTGTGGTGGTGGGGGAAGTGAGGGCTGTGGGGCAGCGCTGAGTCTTTAGGGCTCAGATACCCCAGAAGAAGGCGCCTAAGCCAGAGGCAGGACGCGGAGCTTCACCTCTGGTCTTGTGGCAAAATTGCATTTTCCTGGGGAGATTCGCAACTTTCATCAGCTGATCTGAGAAAGCTAAGAACCTTGCTCTCCTTGGTACAGAGGGAAAGCTTTGGGGTTGAGGGTGACAAGAGTCAGGAGACAGTTCAGCTCAGCTCGGTGACTGTGAGTTACCATCTGCTGGGGGCCAGACCCTGGGCTAGGCACAGAGGTGTGTGCAGAGGAACGTAAGACCCAGACCCGTCCTCAAGGGGCGCACAGCCTGGTGGGGAGACTCAGGTGAACAGAGTGTCAGTATGTGGTGAGGGGAGCGAAGGCAGGGGCAGTGGGAGGCGGGGCCCGGAGCTCGCATGGCCGAGGGGGGCAGGGCTCAGGCTGGGGAACAGCAGGTGGAGAGGAGAGGCCTCGGAGTCGGGGAGGGAGGGCGCGCTGGGGTGAGCAGCTGTGTGAAGGCTGCCCCCGACCTATGCTGTGCTCTCGTCTCCTGGGAGCCAGGTGTCCTGCGTGAGGTGACCACTGAGTTCACTGTGGACGCAAGATCCCTAACAGCCACGGGTGGGAACCACGTGACGGCTCGCGTGCTCAACCCCTCGGGCGCTAAGACGGACACCTACGTGACAGACAACGGGGATGGCACCTACCGAGTGCAGTACACGGCCTACGAAGAGGGTGAGGGGCTGGGCTGAGCGGGGACGGTGGGGATCTGATGCCAGCATCTTCAGGGGGGTGGGGAGGTGGGGGCCTCGCACACCCTGACTTGCACCGTGTGGCTGGCTTCCAGGAGTGCATTTGGTGGAGGTGCTGTATGATGACGTAGCTGTGCCCAAGAGCCCCTTCCGAGTGGGCGTGGCTGAGGGCTGTGACCCCACTCGCGTCCGGGCCTTTGGGCCAGGCCTGGAGGGTGGCTTGGTCAACAAGGCTAACCGCTTCACTGTGGAAACGAGGTATTCCTCCCCCCGCCTTTCCTAACCCTGACCCTGATGCTGTGGCCACCCTAATCCCAGCCACCTGGCCTCCCCCTTCATCCTGTGTGTGCCTCATCCCCAGCCTATCCCCTGTCAAGGGTGCAAACCTCCCCCAGTGTCCCAGCCCCTGTAGCTGGTCCCTTCTCCGCTGGGCCCCCAGCCCCCATTCAGCTTCTCCATCCCCACTCACTGGTCCTAGCGGAGCTGATATAGGGGTGTCATCGTGTAGGGGAGCTGGCACTGGGGGCCTAGGCCTAGCCATCGAGGGCCCGTCGGAAGCCAAGATGTCCTGCAAGGACAACAAGGATGGTAGCTGCACCGTGGAGTACATCCCTTTCACCCCTGGAGACTACGACGTCAACATCACCTTCGGGGGCCGGCCCATCCCAGGTGTGCACGGGGTGGGTGGGACTCGGGGAGGGCAGCAGGAGGCCTGCTCAGCGAGAGAGAAACTGGAAGGCAGTCGGGCGTGGGGGCTCATCCCTAGAACAGGAAAGCCCCGAGCCCAGCCGGCAGGGAGGACGTGGAGCAGGCAGGTGCTGCAGTCACGGCCAAGAGGCAGGGCGGTGGGCGCAGTTCGTTCCCAGAGGTCCAGCACTGGTGTCTTGGCCCTTTGTCTGGAGCGCCAGACCTCGTGGGTTCGGTCACTCACACACAGTGCAAGCCTCTGTCGCTGGCTCAGCAAGGACAGCCTCTCACACCCTCTCCCTCTCACCGTCTGCAAGCAAGGAACCCCCCTGCCCTCCTGCATGGCCGAGTTGCTCAGGGTAGGGGTAGGGGTGGGGAGGGTGGGGTTATGTCTTCAATTATCACGTAACTCGGGCCTGCTGAAATTGGACATTTCTCTTCCTTATCTAATTTCACGCTGGCAAAAATGCATTTTCTGTTACAGATACTCCACTTTTAACGTTTTATTAATTTAGGAAGGCCTTCTTCCAGGCTTGTGGTCTAAATAAGTGGATTTGCCCAGCCGCAGTCTGTAGCCAAGTAGCCAAGTTTATTTTCCTTGTTTACATTTTCTTAGCAAGTCCCTAAGCGTTTGCACATTTGGTCTGGTCTCCCCGGGGCATTTCAAAGGCAGGGAAGGCGTCCTCCTCCTCATTCCTCGGTGTCAGGTAGACCCTCCTGGGCAGGTGGATAGGGGCCGATGTCCCTCTCCTTGCAGGGAGTCCATTCCGGGTGCCAGTGAAGGATGTGGTGGACCCTGGGAAGGTGAAGTGCTCCGGCCCAGGGCTGGGAGCCGGTGTCAGGGCCCGGGTACCCCAGACCTTCAAGGTGGACTGCAGCCAAGCTGGCCGGGCCGCCCTGCAGGTGGCCGTGCTGAGCCCCACAGGTATGGAATGTCTGGGGCAGGGTGGAGGGAGGCAGGAAGGATGGCAAGAGTCTTTGCTGACCCTGCTCCCCTTGCCCAGGTGTGGCTGAGCCTGTGGAGGTGCGTGACAATGGAGATGGCACCCACACCGTCCACTACACCCCAGCCACCGATGGGCCCTACACGGTAGCTGTCAAGTACGCTGACCAGGAGGTGCCACGCAGGTGAGGCCCAGCTTTGGGCTCCTGTGCTCTCTGAGCTCTGGGGAGCTCCCACCAGGGCCGCACCTGCAGGGCCACTGCAGGGCCCTGGAAACACCCCTCCTACTTTTCTTCGCCTCATCCCATCTCTGCTGCCCCATCCCGCTCTT